ACTTTGTAAAGTGTCCTGAGATGACTTTTGTTGTGATTTGGCGCTATACAAATAAAATTTGATTTGATTCTCCCAGGGCACTGGAGTTGCAGTTTTAAGGTTTACTTATGTATTTTCTTAAAATTACGTGTGAGATGTCTGCTCACAGAGGCCATAAAATAATAAATTTCCTATTTCATACCCTTCACTCTGAATATGAGCATTTACCTTGGTTTCAATATGGAGGCTGAACCCTTATAATTCATTTGTCCAGACAATTATTAATATTTTGGAGAGCAGCAGTTAACTGCTGCTTCAAAATGTGCAACATTGCAATATTCTGTTACACTGTGAAATAACAATATATATATTTTTTTTTTAGTTGTACTGGCCTTATCAGTTTCATTGGTCTTATTTTCTATGCGTTTTTAAGCTATTGATTATAAATGTGCTGAGATGCTAAGCACAAGACAAATTTCTCTAAGGGGACAGTATATTATATCTTATTGTATGAGCTTTAACAGAAGTGATTCTTGAACTTAATCTATCTTTTTTAGGTTTGGATTTTTTTGTATTCATTGTATCCCTAAGAAAGTGAGTCAGTAAAAGACAGAGATAGTGGCTGAGAACACAGAGAGGATGGTACACTTCACAACAAATAACACCCTGCACAAGAACCATCTCTATTACTGAGTCAAAACAACCAGCTGACTTTAGTTGACTCCATGACTGAGACAATGGGAGTGGAAGATGAGAGTGGGGGAAGGTAAATACTCATTTGTAATATTTAAAATGTGCCAGATGCTGTACAAATCCTGAGAGGCAGGTAAACATGGCTTCTGTTTTAGATGAGATGTTGTGCTAATAACATCTACATTCTATAGTCCAAAACAAGTCATTGTAATCTTATCATTGCTTTGCTATTGTGGAAGTGAATTACTTTTCATATAAAAATTGAGAACCAAGGACTAAGATTTTAAATGTTATAAAAAGACCAACTACAAATCCACCTAGAGTGAGTTATAATTGGTCTATACTTAAAAAAAGAGAGAGAGAAAGAAATTAGAATGGTGAGGATAAGGCAGAAACGTGGCTACAAGCACAAAGTAGGTAAGCACGGGGTTTGAAGGTCTACACTCAGGACCTGGACAGAACTGACACAACAACCAACCATAGTGAAAGAGAGGGAGACCGACCAACACACAAGAAAATGGCAGAAGGCATAATTACCACGCTCATGAGTGATGACTGAGGAAGGGAAGAAAGTGCAGTAAACCAAAATGAGAAAAGGAAAACAGGGGGAAGAAAGAAAGAGGGAAACAAAGCAAGAAACAAAGAAAGAAGCAGAAAAAT